ACCTTTCTTTTTTTCTTGAAATTTATTGCCGCCATTGAATCTTCTCGTTTGTTGTGAATTCGGCCTCGAAAGCTGTCCACGTAATCTTTGGCCGTAACCTCTTGTACGCCTAGTTTCTGCAACCCTCCTATTTTCAAATTTAACCGCCAGTTCAAACTGTTATTCCAAGGTGCTGGGGATTCTGAATTCTGTAAAATCTTGGATCTGCGGCAATAGCCGGGGCAAAATAATCGGATTTATTTCGGTATCGGGCCTTTTCCCGTACACCAAATTAGTGATTTGGACTTCCCTTAAAATAAATTATATTAGTTCCTCGACTTTAAACTATCGTTATCTTCTGCACTTTCGGGACCGGGTACAGCAAAAAGTGGTTGTCCAGGTTCCAAGAAGTTGGTGACCAACGTTCTTCCGTCGAATGTCGCCGCGGGTTTCATGGAGGCCTGCATTGTTTCAATGAGGAAGCCAAACTCTTCCGTTATGTGTTGAGGAGCCGATGGAGTTTACGATGTAGATGGGGCAAGCTCAAATGTTGAATTATTTTCTGCCATTGTTTCGGATTCGTTCGGGCGCCACTTGTGAGAGCTATTCCTCTTAGCTAACACAAAGTTAACGTGATCTTACTAGAAAATCTGGCGACTTCTCGCACAGGCGTACTAATATCAACACAGAAGAAGGGTAAAACAAACCCTTTAATATTCGTCAAATTCTTAACTAAATGCACCTACTTCATGCTTACAGTAACACCGTCTAATTGCGGTGCGAACTTAAAAACAATTAAACAGTGACGTCAAAAGTGAGTAGTCGCGCTGGACTAACAATTTAGTTTAAGGCTAACTAGGCTGACTCAACAACCTACCCGGCGATAGACTTAGTAAATGACCACAAGGCATATCAGCAACTCAGAGTAACAACAGCACGGACAAAATAGTAATATGCGCTGTGAATAAACTACTAGTTTCGTCTGTTTTTGTACTCACTTAACTTTAAATTTGCGTCCAGGCGAGGAAATGCAAGGGGAAGTTGAGGAATTCAGAAAAGGTAACAAAAATTTGAATAATTGGTTAATTGAACTAAAGGAAATCCTACAATGTAATCGTCTTTTATATGTTTCTTTAAAATGTTATGAATGCATGAACTTTTCTTTGAATTAAAAAAAAATTATAGTGTGAGATACACTACTTCAGCAAAATGTAATGTAACAAAATAGTAAATCTCCCAGATTTTATTTAACATGAATTTTTAGAGCCACATGCAGAAGCTCTCAAATATATTATTTAACACAGATACTTCCCTACTTCTGATTCAGTTGTTCGGAAGTTATTTACTATAAATCTATCTAAAGGGATCCAACCAGTGATTAATTTTTTATGTGGAAAATCACAGAAAACAAAGAAAAACCTGTTCTTTTGAATGAATCTTGGGCCTTTTATTAAATTTATCTACTTGTTTTTGAAATTTAGAAATAAATTACGTGAAAATATTTATGAGCGCAATTTATAGAAATGAAATAAAAAGTTTGTTTTGCATAGAAAACTTAAATTTCTGCCTTAGAATAATTTCAGTATAATTTTTTATTATTAAAAAGAACTTTGAACCTTTGATAAAATTTACACCCTCAGTCAAGTCAGTTCTCTAAATGTTCATGAAAATTTTACTGACTAAGCTAAAATGTTTTTAAGTAAAGAATTTAGAAGTAATTAAGACTTTCTTCTTATATGCTTGTATGGTGTAACGGTAAGCACATAGAGGCGATTATTGGAGGGTCTTTTGTTCAGTTCCAGACAAGTGTCCTGTGAATTTTTGTAGATTAAACATAAAATTTGTTAAAATTTTTGTGGTTGCTCGGTTCAAGAATCTTTCTTTCTTTCTTTTCTTTTTCTTTTTGTTCTTTAATACCAAAAATTTTTTATGCACAGAGCATAGTTCTTTCAAATCTATCTATTTTTCTTAAATTAAATAATTTTCTTTTTCTTTCTTTCTTTTTTAAATAAAGATATTAGAAACAGAATCATGCTTACACATTTTAATCTAAGGCAAATCTGAAAATTACATCATATAAATGCTTTGGTTTATCATTTATCATTTTCCATTAATCGTTTATTTTCTCCTAATCTCATTTCTTGTCTTGGGAGAGTGTCATGTTTGACCCATTTTTGACACGTCTTTGATTAGACATATATACAGGGTGATTCTAAATTGTTTTTACAAATTAAGAGGGGTGATAGTACTCATCCAGATGAGCAATAATTACCATAGTACATAGGGTTGCATTCCACTCTGAGAGGCAAAAAAGAGGAATGTTAAAATTCCAACCCGAACTTATAACAGTATTTTGAGAGCGAATGAACGAGACCAAAAAGTTGCATAATCAGTTTAGTGAAAAACTCAAAAATAGTGCACAAAATGGAAAAAAACCGAAAACTTGGCTTTTGAGTGTTAATTCGAGCTCAGACTTTGATGGCAAACACTCAAATGCACATTATTGGTTGGCAAGGTCTCAACCTTGCAAACAATTGTAACAAGTTAATTATCTAAATTATTAAACTATTATAATTATCTATTAGGGGATGCTACTTTGATATCAAGTATCAAGGTAGCAGTTTTTTCTCCCCTTCGCCATCTTTCATCCTGTCCTCCTGGGCTTACTGTGCTGTGCTCGCCTTTCTATGGGATATGAAGTTCTGGCAGCCGGAACACAGCATGAACTTTTCATGCTAATCTCGGCGTACAGCATAAGTTGGAGTTAGTTGAGAATAATCAGTCCCTGATTAAATAATTAACTTGTTGCAATCCTTTGCGAGGCTGAGACTTTGCCAACCAAAGATGAGCATTTGAGTGTTTGCCATCAAAGTCTGAGCTCGAATTAACACTGGAATGCAAAGTTTTCGGTTTTATCCGTTTTGTGCACTCTCTGGGAGTTTTTCACTAAATTGATTGTGCAAATTTTAGTCTTGTTCATTTGCTCTCCCAACACTGTTGTAAGCTCAGACTGGAATTCTAGTATTCCTCTTTTCTGCCTCTCAGAGTGGAATGCAACCCTATGTTCTATGGTAATTATTGCTCATCTGGATGAGTCCTATCACCGCTCTTAATTTGAAAAAACAATTTAAAATCACCCTGTATATAAAATATGTCAAATACAAACGTATATGAAAAAAATCTTCTTAAGACATAATATTCATGAAAAATTTCAAAAAAGTCTTCACCATTTATGAGAAACTTCTAGGTAAAGTTCTTGTTGGCTAAAGAATGTGTGGAAAACTTCTAAATCTGTTAAAATCTTGGATAAATATAAAATCACTTAATTTTGAAAAGCATTTTATTGTGTCATTTAATTTTTTCATGAAAACAAGTACATGTATTATTAATGTTGAAAGGCCGACTAATCTAGCTGTCAACTAACTGGAATATTCTAATATATTCTGGGCTCAAGTGCCCAGAATATATTAGAATTTTGGAAAAATTTCCTCCTGCCAAAATTTATTAAATGAAAGATTTGTAACACCATCATAGAGCTCCTAATAGTACTAACATGTACACATTGTTTCCAAACAATGGCATTTAGTACCAGTAATGAATAAGCATGACATCACAATGCAAAATTATTTTCTTCTTTTAACTCAATTAATTCAGTTTAATTTTTGTAAATATTTTTATTAAAAATAAAAACTGATAAAGTAGGTAGTTTATAAGGATAAAAACTGCATATATTTTATATTGACTTTTATTTAAAATGGATGAAAAGTTTTAAATACAGTTTTTAGCATTTCAATAGCCAGCTGCTGTTAATGAAAAAAATGTCACATTAGAATGTGTTATTTTAGATGATTTTTAAGCATTTAATTCTGAATGTAAATAATAAATAAAACTTAATATCCATGCTCACTTCCTCCATGGTTATTTTTTAATTAAAGTGATCAGAAACAATCCTTTTTCAGTAAAACAAAACTAAAACTGTGCAAGATATTTTGCAATAGGAAAAATCAAAATTCAATTTGGAAAAATTCACTTCATCGCATTTTCATCGACAAACCATGTGTATAAGAAATTTGAATTCCATAGTTTATCAGGAAAAAGATTAAAAATTGATGACAAAATTCCATTTAATGTGAAACACCATGAGTGAACTAAATAAAATCTTATAAAAAGATAGTTTTAAAGAAGACGTAATTTTCATAATTTGCATTTTAAGTAGAACAAAATTATCTTTTTCATTTTTATTAAATTTATAATTTTTGTGGTGTTTGAGATATATAATAATATAAATTGCATATATTTCAATAGTATTCTTTAAATGTAATGGAATTTCGGTTTTCGATTTTTTGTGTGAAACAAAGGATACGTAATTGCGAACATTTACAACTATTAATTTAGAAATCAAACAACAAAAATCAGCATTAAATTTGCAAATTTTCACAGGACTAGTTTCGATGGTTTTACCAAACCATCATCCTCAGCTGCCAAAGCGCAAATGAACAAGATAAGAATGCCTTGACAGGAGTTAAGCTACTGGCGCCATCTATTGATGAATTGAGATTTAAAACATAATTTCCTTAAAGGCTGAAGGCAAAGATGGATTGGAATTAGTGTCGTTAACTAGGACACAAAGAATTTTTTTAATGCGAAACGCTTCTAGAAAGTCTAATTGACCAATGGAAGATGTTTTTTGAATAATTTTGGCTGCAGAAAAATTGAAAGTGTGATTTTCAGACCAACAACTTATTCGGACTTAACTCCTGTCCAGCCATTCTTATCTTATCTAATCACTATATCTTATCTCATTCATATGGGTTTTGGCAGCTGAAGATGATGGTTCCGTATGAAGAAGAATTGTATATGTGCGCCGCCTATAGCATTACACGGATTGTCCCCAGCTGAAAACCCCCATATTAGGCAAGGGGTGGGTCTTCCAATCTAAAGTCCCTTAAGACTTGAAAAGTCAATATGCTGCTCTCTGGGGCTCCACTTCGAAGTGCAGATTTCAAAAGTTTTGTCTCTCAATGGCCAAGGCTACCTCCTGGATGCGTGGGGTCACCACTCCTGATTCTCAGGTATCACCGCAACCAGGCACTATGAGCTTGGAGATCTGACTGGTTGTCAAAGATGCTGCCTGCCAGTACTACACGGGCTGCAGTTCGCAGCAGGGCATTACCTAGCAAACTCGGTGCCATCCTAAACCGAGCTACAGAACCAACTGCTCCGTGATTTATGCCGATCCACCCAGGCAGGCCAATGAAGTTTTGTCTCAAGGTATCTAATTCTGGGCAAGTGGAACTTCCAAATTCAATGATTATGTGCTTACATGGCCGAGACTGCCTAAGTACAGATCCTAGCCAGTACTTCACAGAGTTCTCTGTGCCGACCTCCAGAGGTTATATGATGGTTCGGTAAAAACATCGAAACTAGTCCTGTGGAAAAAAAAAAAAAATGCAAATATAACGCTGATTTTTGTTGTTTGACTTCTAAATTAATAATTTTTCGCGTGTTCTTTTATCATAATTTACGACTATGTTTAGAGTTTTATTTCATGGATGATTTTGTAACTAATTTGCCCATGTGAAAAGTTTAAAATATCGTTCGTGGACTGATGCCCTCCCTCTTAATTGTTTATTCCATTTCTAAAATATAATTTTTAATTCTTCAAAAAAATATCCTGTATTCTGCCAAATCATGAAAAAAATTGCTAAATTAATGGCTATGAAAGAATTTTTTTTAATAAAAAACATGTTTTTTTGTATCCAAGGGCAGAGCTAGCACAGGGGAGGAAATCATGTAACAGCTAATTATCTGTAATAGCTTATATTATCCTACCATTTTAGTGAGAAAAAGTCTGCAATACCATATCACTATCAGAATGGGCATGTCACTGAAAGACCAAACATAACGTATGGAGTTCTGTGCTACCTGTGTCGTTAACACTGTTTTGCTAATAGAAAGCAGATAAAATTTTCGGTCACTGAAGAAGTTCCATGAGCTTAGTAACCGAGCTAATAGAAGCGGAATTTCATCTCAAATACTATTTGTGTGTTTTGAAGCTAGCGTGCCTCTTAAAACAAGAAACCAGAAGCGTTTAGACCAGATTTTATAAAAAAAAAAAATTTTACCCTTGTTCCTGGTTTGCATTTTGATAAAGCCCTCAGCCTCATTTGAAAATATAAATTCATACATGTTTATTTAATTAACATGTAATTTCATTAATTAATTACAGTATAAAATACAATTTAATTCACATCCTTCTTTTCTTTGTCTAAAAATTAGCAATGCAATTTACAAGTAATAGAACATTTTAATCTCTTTCTAATTAAAAAAAAATACATTGTTCATGCAGTCATCAATAGTAGTCAAATATTTCAGGTTGCACTTAGATGTCACAGTTATCAAGCCGAAAACATCCGAAATTATATTTGCTGATTAGCACTTTCCGACACACTACCTTTTAAAGTTGGAATTTCGATAAAAATAAAGGTAGGCAGTTTAATTAGGCGTAGAGGAGTACACAAGGGAAATTTTGTAAAGATAGCATTTATAGTTTTAATTCTGTGGGTATGCCTGAAGTGGGCATACTGATTGAATAGAGCTTTGAAAAGAGTGCTGAAATGAGCATTGCTGGGAAGTGCGTAAAAGAGTAAGAGATTTTGCTTACGATTAAAAAACACTAGATTCTGAATACCAAAGCAGATTTAGCATTACCCAGGGTGTACCACGTTGAGATCTGCTACTCTACGCTCCCCTAGAAAGCTCATTTTTGGTTATGTGATGATTACATACTTATGAATGAAAAAAAAGTAACTTGGGTATATGATATTTACATTTACTATACTTTCATGTTACTTTAGTCTATTTTTTTCACCGCGGTACTTTTTGAAGAAAGTGACACCACCTTAAAAGCACAACCCAATATTGCATGTTTTGCATATGTGCTGGGATCCGTATCAGATTCATTATCTGAAAGCAATTTGTGTAGCACTTTCAGTGCTTTAGAAATGGTCAGCACTCTCCCATCCGTTTGGAAAATAATTAAAAACCCCAAAAAAGAAAGAAATATTATATCTACAATCAGAAATTATAAACTATAAATAGAAATATAAATGTCTACAACTCAAAACTATTAAACATAGCGCTAAGAAAACTTCTTTGAAACAAAGCAAAAGGGAAAAAGAGAGCTGCTCTAGTGAAAAACCAAACAGCTGATAAAATTATCCCTGACCTTCAGAAAATCACCACAACAATTTCTTAGTTGATAACCAAACCCCTCCCCCCCAAAAAAAAGAAAGATGAAAACAGGAAGTGAAGCACAGATGTGGACCCACCTTTCTATATTAATGAGCTGACCAATGAGCTGTAGAGAAACAAAGATACAGCTGCCTCTCAGTGACCTAGACTCGCAGTGAGCCCAGTCTGGGAACACCTCAGTTCGCCGTTTGATTTTAGGCAAGATTTCAAGGTAAAAATTTAAAACTAATATAGAATAAGAAGATTTGCATACAGCCAGAAATTTCCTTTCAAACAATTCCTTTTATACCCTAAAAAAAATCTGGAAGATTTCTTTGAAAAATGAGGGTCTTAAAAAACTAAACATAGCTAAAATATATGTACTGTTTTGTGTTGAACTGCCATCTACTATAAATAAAGAATGTTCAGGGTAACATATAAGTAACCTTCAAATCCTTTTTCATTCAATTTTTCTGTGCATACAGAAGGAAATTTTTAGGTACCATTCCGTAAAGGGTTAATGCATATCCATGAAGACATCCTTTCCATTAGGCAGAGAACCCTCATGGGCTTTACCATGTTCAAATAACATAACCAGATGCCCAGTTCCATTATTTACAATATACTTTCTTTAGGTACCGTTATTTCACATGCCTTAGTTGACGCAATGCTTAATTTTCATTTGCTGGACATACAAATGATGGAATGATTAAAGCTGCAAAGTAACAGTAGTGAATGAGATTTTCAGTGTTTATCAAAAGTAACAGAAATACAGTCCTATTTCCCTTAGATGTTGTTCCTGAGGAAATAGCCTGATTACATTTACTTCCTGTGATAGAACCATTTGCTTCTCTTGAGCAGATTATTTTATCTGTGATTTTTCTGGTATGCTTTCATAATGTGAATTTATGTTTTTTCTAATGTAGAGATTTAACAATTTCTATTTTTGTCTTTAAACAATTGTGTATTTAAATTCGGTGATAGTAGTTTGTCATGTTTAAACTTAATCGAAAATAACATTTTTCAATTTTGTATGTTTTTTTTTTAAATCTGCAACTAAAAATATGTATTAATTATGTATTTTATTTCTTTCACTTGATGTTAGTATTCAGAACCTGCTGGTGTATTTGTTTTAGAAGAATGTCATGTAAGACTTGATGAGAATCCCGATATCCCATATGCTTTCAGTTTAAGTATGTATATTTTCTGTAAGTTATATTTTAAGTGAAATGTGAATTCAGAAATTAGTTTCATTAAACATTTAAAACATTCTTAAATTATTCATTCTAAAATATTCATGACTTGTTACATGTTCTGAAAAGTGCTCTTGGTCCTTAATCTCAATGGTTAAAAACTTTCGAGTCCCTTGGCCATGTTCGTCTTGTTCTTTGTAAAACAACTAATTTTGTAGATAGTTTCCCCAAACACAATCAAGCTTCTTTAAGTAGCACAATCAGTTTCTATTTAATCCAGCCTTAGTTGTAAAATTGTGAAAGCTGTTAGAAAAAGAGTGACCTTATTGGTTGCCATCTGTCAGAAAAGGTCATCGTGTTGGTTTGGATCAGCCACTGTAATTCTGTGTTTCATCTTAGAGACTTCAATAATATTAGGGAAGACATCATACTCAATTATTTCCCTCTTGTGTTCTGTATCCTCATGGAGTGATACACTCTCTTCATTTCAATAGTTTAGCTGAATTTTCACCGTTGTCATCTTCTAACAATGCTTTCTTTTAATCTAAAATGTTTTCAGGCTTCTCTGTTGCCTCTGCATCTGTATCAGGGATTATCTTCAACTTTAAAGTAAGATTTCTTTTTTAGAAAATATGGAAAAAGTATGTGTGCAAACTTTATCAATTTTAGTAAAGCTAAAAAACACAAAAGGTAGAAATAAATAGTAACTATATTACCATATAACTGCATTTTTCTCTCTCTATTAGTTTTTATGTTTAGATTATTTATTATGTTAATTATTTTTAATTTTTCTAAATTTATCTTTTCCAAATAATGGAATGCGATATTTTTATTAGTATGGTCTATAAAATTTAAATGAACCCAATTTTAAAATGTAATATTTAAAAATTTATTATTTTCCTTTCAATTATTATCGAAAAGTGCTATGAAAGAGGAATGACTGCCATCCTATGTGACAGCAGATATATTAAAAAAATTAAGTTCTCAATACTTTAATAAATATAAACTGAGACTGTTTTATCATCATTCCTCGTGGAGTGACTTCAGTGGAGAACCATTTACCCAAGAAGTTAAACTCAGTGAGCTTTTAGCTGCTTCTTCTGACTATCACTTCTTTTCTTGTCCTTTGTATGCTTCACTAAAATATGTTTGTTTCATGTTTATTGATCATGTTATAAAATCAGTGTCTCAAGGTTCTTTGGCGTGTCCAAAGAACTTGAATTTTTCTGGTGAGTTCAAAGAACGTAGAAGGTTTGCTGATGATGAACTCTAAGATAGTTTAATTAATCATCTGCACAAGGAATGCAACTAAAGTCCAAGAAACTGAAATTCAAGAACACACCGGTCTCCAAAGTATTTGCTGTGTGCTGTAAACCACACAGCAGGTAGATAAGTATCTGTAATGGCTAGAACCCAATCTCAAGAAATAATCATTAATCTACTCTCTTGGTAAGAAAACACACTGCCTTTCATTCACTTTTCTATACAAATGTTCTGGAACACCTGATTGCAGGTTCTACTAGAGCACTCTTGTGAGTATTGCCTTTTTCTGTCATATTTTCTCGTAAGCCCTAGCTTCGCACCCTTTTGTTTCAGCTGGCCTGTATAGTGGTGCCATCTGATAGCAGAATTGACATAACTTGATTAGTCCTCGATGCATTCACAAATATTATTTTTTTAATTAATTATCATTTTTTAATTTAAATAATTTCTTGGCCTTAAAACATGAAAATATAAGTATGATTAGCAAAGTTTAATTTGTCATTTTTTTAAATAATTTTTAGTATAAAAAAATGTATAGTCGCCCAGTCAGTATAGTTATTAGGGGAGCCTGACTGTGATATCAAAGGGCCTGAGTTCGAATCCTGGAGAAGGCATGGGTGTAAAATTGTCTGTCTTTTCACAGGAGGTAACGGTGGCCGCCTATTAGGTACCTATATAAGGTACCCTAGCATCCCGCTTCCCTAGCATCCCTTCGTGGTGTAGTTGTTCTGCACGCTGGGCCAGTATTCAGGAGGTCTGTGGTCCGATTCCCGGCAAAGGCAATTGCTCATTTTTCATCTCTCCGGCTTTTCAATAAACCTAAAGGCCCATTCCCACTGGGGTTTATCTGAGCTAATGAACACAACTAACGTAGTTGACCCATCCCCAAAACCAGTTTTTCCCCCATAGAGCAGCAAGTTGAAAAATCTGAACTGCAGGCACAGCTGAGCTAGTCGACACAGGGAACTGACTTCGTTAGCTCAGATAAACCCCTGTGGGAACGACGCTTAATGTCTCTACAGTGCCGCCCGAACTAAAAGGGTTGTGGATGATGACTCTCCACGCCCAGGATTTGGCGATTGGGTCCCCTAAAAAAAACCAGTTGCCCTTGAAAAAGGGGAGTATGTAAGGTATTTCTCCCGTCTTCCTAGCTTGCCTTCATGATGTAGTGGTCAGCACACTGAGCCGGTATTTCAGAGGTCTGTGGTTCGATTCTCGGTCAAGGCGTTGCTAATTTTTCAATTTCTCATGCTTTAAAAAAAAAAAAACTCCTAATGTCTCTACACCTCCACAATAAAATGGCCACCACTTGTGACCTTAGTAGTGGCCAATGCCGTTATAGGCAAGTGCCCAACATTGGGGGGAAAATAAAAATTTTTAAAAAATTATATATTTTTTCTTTTCACATGGGGCTTCTTAAGCTCAGGGGCTTGGGATGCAGCCCTGATCGCCTTGATAATAATTACAGTGCTGTACCTAATGTATACTGAATATTCTTAACTGCACTGATGTATGCAATATTTAAATGTGTGCAAAGGTAGATCCAAAGGGGCAGGCTTCTTGTTTTGTTTAAATTTTCAGATTCTTTACCTGTATCAATTTAGAAATCAAACAACAAAAATTAGTGCTTTCCAATGTAGAATGTTAGCTGAGAGAAATACTGTATATAAATCGCTTGCAAACTAATTGGGATGTAAAGTTGCTGCTGTAGACACTGGCAAAGTTGTGCTGTTTCATTAGCACTGCATTTCCTCCCAGCTGTGGATTTATGCTTTGCCATATTTAAATGTTTTGTCGCAAAGCACGTTTTTCCATGTAAACTAGTTTTTATAAATTTTGTGAAACAAGAAATTTGTTCTAAATTTTTAACTAAATTACTCTTTTTTTTTTTTTTTTTTTTTTCTGCGAAGGCCCCTAGCTTTGCCATAGCGACATAACACTGAAGGTGATTCCAGGGGGAAAATGAATTTCATTAGAATTCATTTGTTTCTCTCAACCATTCTTTTTTCCCCAGGAATTTGTGCTAATTTACTCAAGAATAATTTCTCCCTTTCAGAAAGGAGCATTTTATCTTTTACTAAAGAATATATCTTAACTGCACTCCAAAAATGCACTCCTGGATAACAGCAAGCAATGTAACATTTATTTATTTTTAATGGAAACATGAATAAAAACTAAGACAGGACCAGGAAATGGTACATATGGACAATGCTCAAAATAAATATCCTTTCTTCATGATTTCTTACAGAAGGCAAATATGGCATTTTGCCACAGCTTCCTTTCTTTACTTAAGTGTAAAATTACATTAAATTTTAATAATTTTCCAGGCAAATTTTTCTTTTCTTTCTTGACTGAAAATTTCTTATGTCTGAGTTTCTTTTAACTGGAATCAAAATCAGCTGTACTTAATATCTTTTTTTGTTTGATTGCTGTTTGTTGGTAATTTCATTTTGTAGTTTATTAAATACAGAACTTAATATGAATGTTTTTGTTTCTTATGTATAATAATTTTAGAATGTATGAATATAATTTTCAAGATAGAAAGAAAGTTTAATAGTAGAATTCATATTAGTTTTTCAGCATGATGAGGTAGGTCAACAACTGGGTGCAGCATCTGAAGGGGAGAGAGATTCATGGATTCAGTCTCTTCATATGGCAAGCTTTGAATACATGAGATCTCAGTTATCATCCTTAAAAGAAAAGCTGAAACAACTTAAAGGATTGGATGACAATGATATATCCCAAATTTCTTCTAAGCGACAAAGAAGTTTCACCTCTGATGCAAGTAAGCTGTATATATGTGTGTTTACCCATCATCAAAATTTTACTGTAGATCAGGGTTTCTTAAACTTTTTGTTTTGAGGACCCCGAAATATTTATGAAAATTTTGTGGGACCCCCATAAGCATTGCAAGTAAGCCGTATATATGTGTGTGTACCCATCATCAAAATTTTACTGTAGATCAGGGTTTCTTAAAGTTTTTGATGTGGGGACCCTCTGATATTTACGAAAATTTTGTGGGACCCCCATAAGCATTGTGCAAATCCAACACACACGTGAGTGAAATTATCAGTTTCTTCACCTATACTTTAAAATACTGTTGCAGTTTTAGGTCGTTGACTTTATTTTTTAAGTAAAATGAACGTTTCTATTATAAAAAAAAAATGTGATGAAACGTCTTTGCTTTTTCTTTGTCTATATCGCCTTATCTTTATCTATTATCAGATACATTATGTAAAAATATTTGATAATTATAAAATTATTATAAGTTAAAGAAATATCAAAATTACTAAAATTTTGGCGATCCCCTACTGCAAGTCCTGTAACCCCAAGTGGGGTCACGACTCATAGTTTAAGAAACTCTGCTGTGGTTGTAAAAATTTATGATCTATTTTTATTTGTTTTTACTGGTTTATCAGCACTTTGCCGGCGGTCTTTTATATTCTGCACCATGTTTTTACTTCATATGCTTAATTTCTGTTTGTGTTTTTGATATTATAAGTCTAAAATTAATAGCAGATTGTAGAATTGTATAAATTTATTCATTTTTAAATAAACAATGTCAGTAGTATGTACTTGTATTAAAGCAAGCAGTTTTTACATAACCACTACTGTTAATATATGTAGGTTACGATCCACAGCAATATGAGCCTTTTATGGAACTCAGTATATGTAAGTAAACTTTTTAATTTCATAGCTAACTTGCAATTGAAAAATATTTTATGCATGTGTGCCTATATCTCTAAAATATGTCTAAATGTTTATTTATGACAATCTTTTGATGCAATGAGCATTAGTTGATTTCTTATTGCTTAATGAAATGATTCTGGCCTGTATGAAAGCATCATTCATGTCCTTATGCCAATATTGATATGCAGAAATTTCGTGTCTGAATGGTGTTCTGTTTTCAGTGATCTCCAGATTAATGCTTACTGATTGAAAATATTTTAAAGAGAGCTTGGCAATTTTCCAAGCTCTCTTGGTTAGAATGGCTAGAACTGTATAAATAAATGCTCTCAATCTCAACTATTATACAGTACAAAGTCTGTAATCCGGATGTCCATAATCTGGAATGATCTATAATCCGGACCTCAAAGCTACAAACTTTATGCGCATGCGTATATGCGTTTACACATGCACATAATGCGTTTATGCATGCATGTTTAATGTGTGACGGACGGTATAAGCTAAGCTAAAATTATCTAATTATCTATTTCAGTTAATGTTGCAGATTGCGTTGTTCCTTAATCTTCAAATTGGATCCGGCTTATTATTTTTTGCAGACTGTCAGAGCAATTTTATTAAAAAAAAAAAAAAAAAAAAATGTAAAAAAAAAGCTTGAACTTTCGGTTATGTCAAAAAGAATTTCCAATTCTGAGAGCTTGCCATAGGATCTACCATGCGGTTTTTTACGTTGTTTCGATGTCTCATTAAGCAAAAAGTAGGAATTGCTACAAAAAATTGGATAAATGGCATATCCGTCCTCAAAATTATGTGAGAAGTATGGCATTGGAAAGTCAACTGTATATAACATAAGAAAACAGAAAATGGAACTTTTTGAATTTTTTGTGGATTCCTGCACCCCACTCGCAGTGAAAACAGAAAAATTATTCGTTATGCTCAAAGTTAAGATCATGAAAAATAAATGACTGAAGGGTCAGACAGCATCGCAGTGAGGGCGTGCCATTGATGGGTCAAATGCTAATGGCTCAAGCTAGAATATTTTATTTCTCTAAGTAATGAGCTTAAAAACTGAGTGTACATACTCGACAGGTTGGTTAACCAAATATAAAAATTGCCATTATATAAGGCAATTAAGAATTTTGGGTGAAAAAGCTTCAGCTGATACTTAAGCTGCTGAACTATTCTGTTACTAATGAACAATTATCTCCAGAACAAAAATTACAATGCTGATGAAACCGGTCTTTTCTGGCAATATGTACTGTGAAATACCTTGGCAACCTCTACAGAAAAGGCTCCAATTGGTGTCAATGATTCCAAAGCGAGACTAATAATTTTAGCGTGCGCATATGCTGCAGGAAAGCACAAGTGCAAACTTTTCGTAATTAGGAAACATGCACGACCTCGAGCGTTTAAAGGAGTAATGGTTTTCCCTGTTATATATCGCGTAAATAAAAGAGCATGGATGACACAAGCGTTGATGAATGATTAGTTTGAAAATCATTTTATACCCGAGGCTCGGTGACATTTGAATTCGGTTTGTTTACCTGATGGCTCAAAAATAGTCCTGATTGTTGACAACTGTTCAGCACATACTTCACTTAAAGTTTTAGTGAAAGATAATGTACGTCTATCATTCAGCCTGTGGATATGAGAATAGTGTAGTATAAAGTAGCATTTTTAAAATCTATGTTAAATTTCTTGAACAATGGCAAGACTATTCAAGACTTTTTGAAATTTTTTAGCATAAAATCTACTGCATGGAGCTGCACAAGATCGTGGGAGGATGTGTCTCCAGATACGTTAAAAAATGCTTGGCATAATTTATGGCTAGCTACCATATTTCATGGTGAGGTTGATGAAAATGATAGCCATGAATCTGAAGGTTTTCAGACATCACAAACTAAAGGTGAAATTTCCAGTTATTGGATTTTGTAAAGAAATGTGGAGAAGCGGTAATAAATAAAGATGATATAACAGAAGTTTTTCATTGCGATGACAATGCCCTAATCATCAATCGATTAACTGAGAGTGAAATCTGTAGTATGGTTCTAAATCCAGAAAATATTCCTTCCAATAGTGAAGAGAGTGACAGAGAGGTTATTGAAAACAAAAAAATTTCGATTAACAAGTAGTCTGTATTCTTGACACAGCAATTACAGAACTTGAACAACGGAACTTTGTAACTGAACAAGAAATTATATCTGTTTATAGAATTAAAGAGAAAGTATTAGCACAAAAAACGAAGCAACTTAAACAACTTACATTGAAAGAAATGTTTAATAAAGTAAACAAATAAATATTAAGCCTTTTTTTTGTAAATTTAATACCCTTTAGATCATAATTGCTCTTTATTTCATAAAATACAGTTTCATATTTTTAATTGTATAATTTTCTGCATGCCATCTTACCAGATTTAAATTGATGATCTATAATCCGGGAATACCCCTAATCCGGAATCCCCGAAGTCCCTTCGATTTCGGATTAAGGACTTTGTACCGTATATCATTAGTGTTATTCAATCTGTATTAGATTTATCATCCTTTTTTACTCATATGATAGTATAAGTCATATTTAGTCTGTTTAATATATGTGGGATAATTCAGTGTTTTGTACTGACTGAATCTCATACATCATGTGACAAATATAACATGGGTCATATTTTACTCGGGAAAGGTCAGATACGATCTTGATTCCCCAGGCTATGAAAGCTTTCCATTATGAAATTTCTGTCTGTGGATTAGCAATTACCCTTTCAGTAGCTTACTTTTATAATCCCTTCCTTTAGTGGCATCTTTCAACAGTAGATGTGTTTCCTTTTCTAATAAAAACTAATTATATTCTGGAAGGCCATCTATGACTGGGATAACCTAAGAACCCCAAGCAGCCGTTTATATTCCACTTAGTTCTCAGCTTTCATGGATTGCCAAATGGACGAATGGTTTACTAAAAATGGGATTTGAAGAAAAAAGAATTACTTTGAGAAAGAATTGAAATGATTAAAAATGTTAGTGAATAGTGTGAGACATAAGATGAAGAAATAGATTTATTTAGTGAAGATGAAAGTAATTTAAAAAATTTTAGCAATCACAATAGTTTTGATGATTTTGTACCTTAACAAAATGAAACTTTAGAAAGGAACTAAATCAACCAAAAATGTGGCACTTGCATAGCAAGGAACAAAATGATTTGGAAATAAAGAACCTACTCCAAAAATAGGGTTTTGTGTGCACAACAGTCTCATCAAAATATCAGGTACCTGTTGCCTCAAAAGTAATGAAATCCCTTGATAGTTGGGAACTTTTTTTATGCTACTATATAATTGTAACATTATAAATAATACTCTGAACTATACGTTTTTATTGAGAGAATATCTGAAAATTATTGGTGAAGTTAGGAAGTTTGAAATGCTGATGAAATGGAAATTAAGAACACTTTTATATTTATTTGATCTTGCACAATTCCTCTTGTATTAATGCAAAAGATTTCTAGGTTGTTGATAACATTGGAACTGAATGATCGTGAAACCCAGTGTTGTATAAACAATCAAGTTTCTTCTTGAGATGCTTACATTTCAATTGTGCAAATAACTGTGAACTCTTTTTGGTTTTATTTAAAATTTCCCTTACTTAACACTGTTTTTGAATAAAAATACATTTTGCATTAATATATTTCTACAACAACACTGCATTTTTTATCATTCATATCATGACAAAATCTCATGCTATTTTTTAATTATTTTCTCATTGACTGTTGATATTGTATTTTGTTACTGCATGTAATATGCTTACTCATTTTCATTTTTTATGCAACTAAAAAACTTCAGTTTATAAAAGAAGTGAATTAATTCCCTGTAATTTGGTCTTTTGTAAATACAATAAAATTAGTTATAGTCATTTTGGAATATTTCAGTAATTTTGTTTCAAAATGTGCCATAAATATTAAAGGTGTTGAAGCTTACAATTTTTGCATTTTAATATATTGATGAGTAATGTAAAATAGTAAAATGATGCAAGTAATTACTAATTAATTGTGTGATTAAATTTATAAAAATTATCATCTGTATTTTTATACTTGATTAGTGTGATTTTACATGTTCTGATTAAAGAGATTTTTAAAAAAATTTAAGCGCATTGCAAGAAACATAGTTTTTCATTTCAATGTCTTTGTGGAATTGCAAAAGCTCAGATTTTTGTTTGATTACATACAAACTAATGTTTCTTTTTTAAGCCAGTAGTTTTTAATAATAAGAATCTTTAAACATTATTCTCTTGAAAAGCACTAATTCTGAATCCCTGCTTTTAAGTATATTTAATTCATTCGGTGTGTAAGTTGAATGCAACCATATGAATTAAATTAATCTTAAGGTGTTGATACAGCTATTTTTGTGTATTATAATAGCAATAACCAGAATCACAAATAGAACACAAATAACTAGAAACTAATATGTGTTCATAAAAAGAAGAAAGTCACATGAATGAAATAAAAGGTTTTGTTCTGTAAAGTATATTTTTTTTATTTTATAAGTCTCTTCTATTAGTTTAAATACTTTTTATGTGTTAAATATTAAAAATATTTTGAAATAGGTTGTGACAACCTTATGTGTGATGGTGATGGTCAACCACCTAATCCTTTAGTTATTGTGGCTGTGAATACCCATCCATCTGTAAAATGGCAGAAGTTTGCACAGACTGAAATTGTAGAGGTCAGTAATTTGATCATCACCTGTTTTTCAGATTATAAGGTAGCCAGTGCTATTCTGTATTCATGAATTATTTTATTTGTAATTCAGAAGAAAGGCCCACCAATAGCTGAGGGAGTAACAGCACCAAACATTGGTGGTTCAATCCTGGTGAATTGGCTGGTTGCATGTTTTTTTGGGGGGGTGGAGGGGTTTCCCTTATGTCACATGAATACAATCAGTTTCCCTTAGTTATTTACAAGAGCATCCCTTTCCTTTAGGCAGATTGTCTTTGTATGCTTTCTCCTAATTAAATAAACATTCAGATTAAATGCTAAATTGTTTTATATTTTATTGTGATAATCATTTTGAATGTTTTGTGTATTATTATTAACAACATAAACAGTTTCTTCTTCATTCAGAAACTTCTTCAACTGTTTTCCTTTGGAGAAATGCTTTAGTGTTTATTAATTTATTTATCAGACAGTTCAAGGACTTTCTCAACTTCTAGACATGATGATCACTTTTCCTTGTGTGTCGTAAACAAACTCTATACTCAATGCAGTAGTGTGTTATTGCTGTTGCTTTGATTGAGTAGATTTGCCACTTCCTTTTCCTCTCTGCTTTCTCAGGATCCATAAATTTGGCTACTTTTGTGGTTGCATCCCAATAATATTTCTGGACCACACTTTGTTTATCAAAGTAATTAATTTAGTAGTTTTTAATATATAACAGTTCTATAAAATTACGTCCACCGTGAGTTTTAATAAGTATTAAAATTTAACTTTTGTTTGGTGTTTTTCCAAATTAATAGTTATTCATAGTTTTAAGAGACAAATGGCATAGTCAGTTTTCTCAAGATTGTGTTATTAAGTGAAACCTCTGCTTCTTAAAATTGCTGTTTAGACTACGACTGGTGAAGCAACGAAAAGAAGAGCTTGTTTAACATTTTTAATTATGAACCAAGTGTGTCAGTGCATAAATCTTAATTTTTCTGGTGAATACTGTTAACTAATGCTGAGGGGTTTTAATTATAGGTTTTAATTTTTTATATTATTCTATTTTGTGTGCATATAATGTGTTTGTTTAGAATAACTTTTATGGTATTGGTTAGCGAAGATATGAAGGGACAAATAAAGGTAATCAAGTTAGCAAATTACTTCATAAACTTGCAGCTAATTTATTTAGCATTGTTTTGTAGCACATAAAAATCAGAATGTTATTGTAGCATGGTTTAGTTCTATAGGCTTTCTGTAATATTTAACCATTATTTAATGCAATCTTTTTCTTTTAAAATTGCCTTTAAATTATTACAATGAATGATTTGTTTTTCAGAAATCTAGTAATCCCTGTTTTTTTACAACGGTGACTTTTGTGAAAGGAGAAGTGTCAGAACTCACAAGAATTAAACTTTCTGTATATGATATTAAGGAAAGAGTTACATGCACAGTAAGTACACAGTTGTATTTTATAAATTGAAAAAAAAAATTTCCGTTTCAGGGATTACTTTTCATAAACATATCAAAATTTTTTAAGTATTTTTTTACTGTCATTCATGTACTGAATGTAGATTTTCTTATTTTCCCTTGTTGAAGAAAAAAATCTGTTTTAACTGTTTTCATTGAAATGAGTCTCATTAAGGCTTAAGACATTAAGGTTTAACTCAAGAACACTGAAGGTTTAAAAGAGAGATTATGTTAATTGCATTTTATCATAACTCTTATGATGCAACACAGTGTTAATTTGTGTAGGGATTGAAATTATAATTTTAAATTAATCTATTCTTGATAAAAAAAATGTTAGCATTATTTCAATCCATGGAGGGATGGAAATCATGCTAGTTAACTTTAAAGAACATCCGTGATACAGGCTTGAGTAAATTATTAGTTAATAGCAAACACAGACCTGAAAGTGATTTAAAATTTTTGTTTGTTAAAGGATAAAAATAAAATGAAATGTTATTGTAGTTCTCAAGTCGTGATCTTTATTGCTGAATTGGGTGGAAAAATATTTTATTTTGAAATTCATTTATATTTATTGAGTATTAAAAAATTATTATGTCTGAAGGCCATTTTTTAAATATGTGTGCAATCAAATTTATGTGTAATGAAGCAGGTTATAATGAATTTAATTCTGACCGATGTGTTTTGCTTTAAAGACTAAGTTTAATTTGTTTCATAAAAAGAAATTTTTATAAATTAAATTCAAACTGTTGACTGATATCACAAATTTTCTTTTGCTGTTAATTCCGCTAAACTGCATAGGCAGGAAGCACTGTATACCTCTTTATAGGATAATCACAAAATGCAGTTTTCCACTCACTCTGCTTTCCTAACCTGGCTTATACAAAGAAGGAGAAGATTGATTTTTGTTATTGGTATTCACAAATTGCCATAATGTTCATAAATAAGTTTTCAGATTTCATGAGATGAATTTATTTATACATCTGTTAACATGTTAAAGTTTTAATCTTATAGTTATAGTTCATCTGAATTTCATGCCACTGATTATATGAAGTAAAGATATTAATTAAACACATAAATGTTAAATCCCTGGAAGCCATGGAATTTTGAGCAAAATGCATTTAAAATAATGTGCATGCGATCAAGCTTGCAGTGAGTTATTTTGATATAAACTACCTTAAAAGTGGACTAGTTTTCATAGAGATACAGTTAGAAATTTCTTTTGCCACTGCTCACTAGTTAGTGAGATGTATTTCCCCATTACAGTCAAAAGTCGTTAATCCGGACTCGTCGGGACTTCGGCGATTCCGGATTATCGATTTTTCCAGATTATAGATCATCAGTTTAAATCTGGTAAGAAGGCATGCAGAAATTATAAAATTAAAAATATGAAACCGTAATTTATAAAATAAAGAACAATTATGATCTAAAGTGTATCAAAATTTACAAAAAAAAAAGAGCTTAATATTTATTTGTTTACTTTATTAAACATTTCTTTCAATGTAAGTTGTTTAAGTTGCTTCGTTTTTTATGTGATAATACATTCTCTTTAATTCTATAAAAAGACATAATTTCTTGTTCAGTTACAAAGTTCCACTGTTCAAGTCCTATAATTGCTGTGTCGAGAATACCGACTAATTTGTCATTCGAAATTTTTTAGTTTTCAATAACCTCTGTTTCTTTGCTATCAGAAGTGAATTATAATGACGAGGCATTTGATTTAAATCATATCAAAGACGGAGTACATCGAGAGGAAATACCATGTTTAGTAAGCAATTATAAGCCAAATAAAATAAAAACATCTGCCCTTAAGATAAGGATAGTGTTGACAGATCAACTTCCAATTCATTGCTCTCCACGGCGTTAAAGATAAACAAAGTTTAGATAAACAAAGGATATGCCTTTATCCATTTTTTGCAGCAATTCCACTTTTTGTTTAATGGACTCCGAAAGATACTTTCGCTTTGTATATCCTTTACATATTAGTAAATATATATCGGAAATTCTATTTGAAATAATCGAAAGTTCAAGCTTACTTTTATAAAATTGCTCTAACAGTCTGCAAAAAATAATAAGCCGGATCCAGTTCAAAGATTAAGGAACAACGCAATCTGCAACATTAACTGAAATAGATAATTAGATAATTTTAGCTTAGCTTATCCCGTCCGTTATACATTAAATGCGCATTCGTAAACGTATTTTGCGCACACGCAAATTCGCAGCCATAAAGGTCTTACGCGCATGCGTCAACACGACGTATGCGCAGAAAGTTTGTAGCTTTGAGGTCCGGATTATGGGTGTCCGAATTAACGACTTTTGACTGTATAATGTATGTTTTTTATATTATTTTCAGAACTTCTTTTGGGTTGCCAGGGAACTATTTTATCTCTTATACTAACTTGGCTAATTTTCAGCTTTCATGCTGTCATCTATATACATATTAGTTTGTTAAGAATATGTGCTGAACAGAGAACACGTCATTTAACAGTCAACAGTCATCATTAATAAAACTTATGTGACATGTCTTCTAATTTTTTAATTTATTGTGTCATTTTTTTTATTGTTTTCCACAGTGAGCCACTTTGAAAATGATAAAATAGTGAACCACATTTATTACAGACATTTTCAGTATTAGTAAATTTACTTATATAAATAGACTTGCTGAAAATATGAATGCAATGCAAATATTTTGTAAATATTTTTTTCGTATGATCAGAAAATATAATTGTGGGGATTTTTGTTACTTCTTTGTGTGCTTGTTCGTCATTTAGTAATGTATTATGTTACATGCAATGATCATAATTAGTTTTCAAACCTGAATTGATTCGGTTAAAATTATTTGTTTTATTTAAATTTTCATGATTTAAATTATCAATTTGTTGGTAGTTATAACTTTGTGTTGGGATTTTTCTTTGAAATTCAAAAGAATGCAAGCTAAATTAAGATTAAAATGTAAATTCAGGTAATAACTATAACAGTTTAATCTTTATTGCTAATAGCAACTGATAACAGAGTCAAACATAAAAATTCTCTTATATCAGCTTCTGAAGGCAACATCATCCAAGCCAGTTTTGTAATCGATGAAAGAGTTCACTGAATTTTATCTTTATACCTATGAAAAACATTTATAAATTTTATATTATCAAATATGTTACCTTATAAACTGCATGTGAAGGCTAAGCTTCTGGTAAATAAAGTATTGAGAAAACTGTAAATTGTCTTTACATATAAAATAATTCAACATTTTTAAGGTGTTGAATAGGGGGGGGATTTGTACAACAAACAGCTTCAGGAATAGCAGCTCAGTACATTGAATATATGTTGTAAGGAAGGTAAGAAATGGTGTATATTCCAAACCGTAAGATGAAGTCAATTCAATATACCTTTTTAATGTAAGTATTAAAAAATAAGTGATAATCTTTGAAAATTTTTTAAATATTAGGCTTCCTGTGTAAGACCAATGTGGTTTACATGAAGGCATTTTAAAGAAAAAAATTATAAATGATAAAAATGTAAGCAAATAGCTATGAAAGATGTCTCACTTGAAAGCTTTAAAAGATAAAATAGTGAAAATATATCCTTGATCAATCCGAATTAGCTTGATTAATTGAAAGACTAACTGCTCTTTGCAGTAAAAGCTAATAATGGTCCCCATGTTTCACAAAAGCTTGGCTGGAACGTGTAGCTTCTTTTGCAGTACATTTCCTCTGGAAGGGGAAGACATTACTTTTGTGTGAAGATGTTTTCTACAATATCTCAATTATCCAAGGATTTCTACTATCTTTAAAATTAATCGTTCAACATTCTTTGATTTTGTAAAATTGACATTGAGATTCTGGGGATGCATTACCTTTGTGTGAGGACCTTTTGTAGTATATATATTTAGCATTAATATCCAATAACCAAGTATTTTCACTGTCTATGTAAGGTTCTGCTGTATCTAAGAACTTGTATTAATGTCCTGCAGAGACCCTATTAGACTAGAAGTGAGTTATTGCTTTAGTTGGGAATAAATGGCCAAGTCCTAAGAAGGTTAAAATAACCTTTATTATTTAACTGTTAGATGACCAGAAAGGCACTACTTGTGAAACAGATGAACCTCCGCTACTTGTAGGTATTTAAATTAACATCAGGTAAAATTTAATTCAAAATGTAGTTAAACGTAGTTTGAGATTATGCTCACAATTAGATTACTTGAGCTGGCCCAAGATAATTAGAGGTAAGATTTTAAATTTTGGCTTGCAAAATGCTAATACTGGAATAAAAGTTTAGCAGATATGGTGATAGTAAATAACAGCAAGATGAGGCTGTCAGAATCTCATACTCTAAACATTCAAATCATCAGCTTAAATACACAATAAATAATTGGCATTCTGGTGACAGAAAGAAGCAGTTATAGTAAAGTTTTAACTCATAATAATTGGTTAATTTACATAACATCTTACATCTTTAATATTAATCTTTTACGGTTCTTTCATTTTGTAAGAATGATCATAGTTATGTGGTGTTTGTCATGCACCATTTTTTAATTTAGTTGAGTAATAAAACTATTACCAAATTTAATAATTGTGATCTTTAACTAGTTAAAAAATCAGTAACAACTATTGGCTTGCTTTGTGAAATGAATGAGGAAAATAGCAATTTACAGTAAACTTGGTTAGCATGAGTGTTAAGTGGCAAATAAAATTAATCAAATCAAAGATAGGTAAAAAGGCCATAAAGATTGATTTCATTTAATCATAATTAAATTATTTTGTAAATATTTCAAAATAAAATAGAAAAAAAGCCTCTGGAGATGATTTTAAATTAAAAGTTTTGCTATACTTATACATAAAATATATTATTTTTAGCCATTACATACTTAAAGCTTTAAGGTCAATACCAACATTCTTTCTTTTATACTGCAATCAGCAGGTCTTAATTGAAGACCTCTTTCATTACTCCTTAACAATTTCTGACTTAAATGCAGGATGTCATAATTATGTGTTAATGGCTTAGTAAGAGCTGATTGTTTTTTCTTAAGAAAAGAAAGGAAAACACAATTTAGCTCAAGATGTTGGATGAACTGCTATTTAAATCACTGAAATGGAAACCAACACATGACAGTTTCGTTGATATTCACTGTAGGAAGATAGTTGGCTGTTCTCTTACCAGCGAATGCTAGAAAATCTCATGCTACAGAACCCATGTAATCACTGCTATCTTGAGACTGGATTAAAAGACAAATTGGAATCAGGGAGCCAACCAGTATGCTAGATGATAGTATGGTTCTTGCATGCAAATAGTGATAAAATTGCTTGGGTATGCCTGACGTCTACCTGAGGTAGATGTTGTAAAGAACAGCTGTCATTAAGAGGAACTTGAGTTATTTAAAGCTGTGACAGTGAACATTATTGACAGTATAACCTCAGTATTAACAGTTGTGAGAGTGACAAAAGAAAATTTTGAGCCTTGCCCATGACCTCTGATTCTAGAGTGTGATATAGAGGGGTGCAGATTAATTTTGCAGTGAAAATAAGTAAAAAAAAATCTGTGCACTCGAGTGTGTACCCAGTTTTTAAAGGAATACCACATTCCTTCCAGTGCAACAAAGGGGTGAGATTTTCCAATATTCATGCCAAGAACAAATTTATGAAAGAAATATTACTTTTCCCCCCTCTAAAATTCACCCCTTTCAGCATTAATGCTAAAACTTAGTGCAAACCTTCATGCTTTTTTCTCCCCTGTAGAAATGGTGGTGGTGTGGTGTATTGAGAATAAGGCAAAGCACACTAGGGCTATCTGCCTAAGGGGAGGGATGCTTTCGTGGAGGACTTTCTAAGGCAAACTGGCTCGTATACACGTTACATATGGGGAAAACCATGAAAGCGGCCATGCAGCCAGCCCGTTTGTGGGATTCGAACCTCGGACCGAACTACCAGTGTTCAGCGATTTTACCACTCGGCTGCTGGTGAGGCCCCTTGTAGAAATGGGAGTAGTTTTGTGTCACACCTGCACTGTCTTCAACTACAGATGCTTAAAACAGTGTCAAATATTGAATTTTCAATAATTACAGCCATTGCTAATAAAAATATATTTAAATGTCAAAAACTCCTCACATGATTAGATTAAAAATTAGAAGTTCACCAGAAGGGTAAAATTTTATGCACACTGTGTATAATTTCAACTCAACTCAATTTTGAGTAATACTAATTAAAAAATGTACTTAGGATGCCACACTCTTAAGAATGAAGACCTTAATTGCTATGTCTTATAAGCCATGCATTTGCATTTAAAATTGAAGGAGGCTATTGAAGATAAATGTAAAGAATAAATTAATTAGCAGAATTTAAAACTTTTAATTTATGTTAAACAATTAACTGAGCAAGTTGGCTCATAATAACTAAACAATCATGAATTAAATGAGTAGTTCCTATTGAGTATACGTAGCTGAAATTTATAAGATTTAATTAATTTAATGAATTACACTACAGAAATGGATAGGACTTTCAAAATTTTCTGTTTCTTTCTATAAGGCTGATAAAAACTATTCATCTATTGTTTACAAATCAGATTTGTTAATTTTTTATTCTGATGCTGATTATATCAGAAATTTTTATGAATGTTAAACACAAATTTATTTTCATGGTTTTTCCCATATGTAATGTGGATACAAGCCAGTTTCCTTTAAAAAGACTTCCATGGGGCATCCCCTCCCTTTCCATGTGGTGCCTAAGGGTGGAGCACATAATATGTAAAAAAGAAATAAAACACAAATTTACCTATTAAATTTAGCTTCATTTATTTTAATAATTAAGCACATTTTTTCCTTCACCTAATTTTATTATTTAAATGCATAGTTTTCCTGAATCTATGAATGTTTTAAAATTTAGAATATACATGGTCTGAGTATTAACTTCTGGAATTTTTCTTGTGAATAATGGCTCACCAGCAGCCAAGCTGAATAATGGCTCACCAGCAGCCAAGCATATAACTGCTTTATATTCATATATCTTCTGAATAGGATAATCTACTTTCCTACATATTTGTAACCTTCTCAGTTTGGCACTTCCTATTTCAACATCTTTTAGCATTACTGTCTACTTCTTGGTTGGTATGAGTTTTTTTTTTTTAATTGAATTCCATTGATGTACTTTTTGTTAATTGTAATAAATCAGTATCAAAGCAGTCTGTTTCATCACAGTGTATAAACTCAAAAGAGAGCTATCAAAGAATCAGACTTATTTTAGTGTGGTAAATCTAGCAGCAAAGCATGTGAACAATTAGCTACTTCTGTACAATGTGAAGTTTGAGCTTCTCCTTTCACAGTCAGTTATCAACTTATGATTTTTGGTGAGGTTTCGTTATTTGAAAATTAAGTATATGTATACATTAAAAAAATATGATAGCGCAAGTAATATAAACTATGTTTTCTGTTTGCCTTTTTACTTTCTGTGTTAACTATTTCTTGTTCTTATCAGTTTATTTTTCAGAGCCACTGACAAAGACCATTTCTTCAATTTTTGAATGTCATCATTTGAAAACAGATGTACCTTTGTCTGTTACTTTAATCATATTTTCAAATGTTTGCCATTTGTTCATGAAAATATCCCGTAAAATTTAGATAAATTTGCAAGTATTATATATTTTCTGCAGCAATTGTTTTATTGTTATTGTTTTTCCAGTTTTTTTAATATCTTGCTATTTTTCAGAGTACTCTTCTTGGAGAATCAGTTTTCACTCTTGATACACTATTGCAAAGTCATCATCGTACGTTGCGTCTCACATTAGTGTAAGAAAACGTACTTGAAATATGCTATAGTTTTGAATTAGGGACTATTACATGTTATGTGTTTTTCATACATTTATTTTTTTTCTTATTTGAATATTAATGATTTCAAATTTGCAAATTATTTTACGTTTCACATCTTAAATTTCAGATTATATTTAAAAGTGCATATACATACTGTGTATTTGTGTAGTTATTATACTTTATTATGATTTGTATAACTATCTTTTGGCTGAAAAATTTTTAGTCTGACAGAAGAATGCTAGAAAATCGAATTTTAAAAGAATTTCAGGCAAAAGTTGCAGGGAAATTCTGAAACATAATCAAGTTTATTCATTGAAAGTTTTCATCACTATCAGTTTTCATTCATATTTTTTGTGAACTCAGTATTTTTATAGGTGAATTAGCTGTATTTTTTTTAATACTGTGTAAGAAAATGTGTACCAATACTGTATCATGGATCCATATTGCCTTTGTAAATTTGTATCTACAAATTTTCACTCCTGCAAGAATGATTATATTTCTTTTTTCTTGTTTGTTTTATTATGTGTATTTTTTGTAATCAGATGAAAATTTGCCAATTTTTTACTTGTGATATATACCTTTTATTATCATTACATTCATATTTTATTAGGAAGTATTTATTAGGAGTAGTTATGCTGTTCAAGCACATCTGATTAATAAACTGTAAAGCAAACATGCTAATAAAAGTACTGTTTCTTTTCCTTCCTGTTCTCAGCATTCCTGATATTTGTATTTTCAGGTATAGCATTTGAGGTGTATGTTTTAACATGAAACCATTTCTGTTTTATGCATTTGGAGGAAATTTTTCTAAGTAAAACTTCATGATCTATGAGAGTTGTATTTATAGTAATGATATATTGTATATAAATTGTTTATTTCATTGGTTTGATTATCCTATTTCATCTTTCAGTACAAAAAGTTTAAGAATTAAGAACAAATGTATTATTGTCTAACCATGCTATTAGCTAAATAATTCTATCTGATTATTTTAAGAGATGTACCTTAAATTGCTTTTCACATTAATTTATATTCATCTGTAGATATTCAGTCCAAGATGAGTTATGAGAATACCTTACTTAAAAATTTGCTGCATTTTAAATAAAAACTACATATAGTAGGATTCTGATAACCTGTATACCTTGGGTGGGGCCAAGGGATGTGTAGATTAGAAAATTTTGTGAATTGTAGATCATATTTTTCTGTTTTATTTAAACTTTTCATTTTCTAATTTGTATAGTAAGTTTGTACTGTTTTCGTATAAGAAACTAATTGAAATGTACTTTAAAATTTATTTAATGAAACATTATATAAATCTAAGCTTTTAGCATTTTAAATGCAGTTATATGTGAGGAAAATCATTGTCAGTGTAAGGGTATGCGGAATAGAGAGAAAAAGACAAATGTTAGGTAAATTTTGTAAGGAAGAAAAGTGTATATCCATCAGCAAAATTATTTTCAAAATAAGTTTTAGGCTTATATATGAGAGCAAGAAATAAATAAATTAGGCAAATTCCATACACACAGATTCAAAATTAATTTTGAAAGTGTGAAAATGCATACCCAAAAGTAAAGATTTTTATAAAATGAAGAATGTGTGTGGATTCGTGTTCTATTAAAAATAGAAGTAAGTTCAAAGAAGGTTTAAAAAATGCTAAATTATGAGGAATATTCTCTCTCATTGCATGCCTTTGTAAATGGAAGTCTGGCCAGTTCCAGAGTTTGAGTCCCAGCAAAGGATTGAGTAACTCTTAAGTTTCAGCAAAAATTTTTGACTAACATTATTAAATATAACTAAGGAAATGTTAGTGTAGATGTATGTTCATTAATGTATGGTAATTCTGAACAATAGTGTAATTCTTAACACATCTGTCTTGTGTGGTGAAGAATTCATATTACTAGTTTTTAAAAAAGTACTTTTGTGTGGTATTAACATATTTGCTGCCACCTCTGCTATGAGTGACGATGCCAGTAGCCAATGAAGCTTTGTTTGGGTTACGTATAAAATCTCTTTTACAATAACACTTTTAATAATTTTATTGAAATCTGTTCGCCTGATAGTAAAATATTACCCCCCCCCAAAAAAAAAGATATAGCTCCAAATGAAATTGATGGCATTAAGTTGGTAATTTTCTTTTACTTGTATACATCTGCTCTGATCAGAGTTGCTGTTGAATTATTATTTTCTGAGGAAATTTATTAACTTCTAAAGTATGCTTTTACTGACATAACATAATACAAAATGTACATAAGGAAAACTTTATTTGTCATAAGTGAATTCACAAAAGGACAGAAACGTTAATGAGAAATGTAAATTCCTCTACAATAAGAAATTACATTTTTCTGAACATTCTACACTTAGTCCTAATTTATCTCTACAATGTAAGTTGTTTGCGTTCTTCTCCTTGCTTCATTTGTAAAGAGGAAGCATCTTTTTTCTTTTGACATTTTGTCTGTTGCTTTTATTCTGAATTTTTTCATTTGTAAGAGAAGTACAATGTTTTGGTTTCAAATATCTAGCAACTGATCCTGACGTGGTTTTAGATGTTTGATGTACTTTCTTTCTTTTCACGTACAGCCGGTCAGGTGATATTTGGTGTGCTGGCAAATGATTAATTAGTAACACAATTCCAAAATAACGTGAAATATACATAAATGCCGGACCTATATAACAATCACTCTTTGTCAATGTTTCTGACATACTAAACTGCATCGTAAATGAAGGAAGTCTGCTGTGAAAGCAGCCACATGGTCATCAAGCCATCTGGGTTTAATAAGAAGCTGACGGCAGTGAACATTTTTCATCAGCTAATACTGTGCTACTACTTAAAGGTTTATCAATTATCATTCACTTTATTCTGATCTTCATCAGGCAGTACTTTAAATAGCATTCTGTCAGAGCTATGGAAGAAGGTCAAATTATTGTACAACTGAAAACTTTCTGGTAGTTTAAATGACCACAAGTAACACCTATTTCGTTTTCATTTTTTGAGTTAAATGGGCAAATGGTATTTCTCTCATTAATTGGTAACATTTACTTATAAAAAATATTTTCTTCTGCAGTGCATATTGCTTTGCCTTGAATTTGTTCTTTGTTTTCAAGAACAAATCCGTATCTAACAGAATGTTTTATTTTGCTTTACTTTCCAAGTTCAAAGATTGTCTGTTCTTCTTTCTGCTATATAAGCAACTGGGTTACTGACTGTAGAAAAATTTTAAGTCACAATTTTGTGTGATTTTCTATGCATTGAGTTGTATGTTTCTACCAATTTCTATGTCAATATATGATTTTTCACTCAGTCTGTCATTCAAAATAATTCTGATATATCATCAGCTGTCATTTGCATTGAGCAAAGGTATTTTTGTTGCTCCATTTGATCTAAGTACGAATCAGAAATTAGTTTATTATGTGAGATAATATCAAAATATATAATAAAGCACTTTGGATTTATTGTTTACTTTGAATTATTTATTGGTAGAATTTTCTTGTCTTCTATGCGTATGAAATCAAATAGCATTTCTTTGGAGTAAAGTTTATATGCTTTTCAATGTTGTCCATGTTTTTCTCTACCTGTTGCTGAAACAAGGGTGACATGCGCTTGAATCTTCACATGGTTTAGAAGTCTAAAGATTAGATGCTGTGTAAGCTACAACATGCCGTACAACAAAATTCGTACGATGTCTAAAATTATTTAAAAGTCCTGAGATTTTTACGAAGTGTTTTTTGCTTTTTAAATGTCCTTAATTTTGACCAATATTGGAAAACAGTCTTTAAATTTACTCATCTTACATCTGTCTGTTTTTTAAAACTCCCATTTTGTGTGTTAATTAATATCTTAGAGGAGTATGTTTTCGCAGTATGCTTACAAATATATTTGATGGGTTATCATTTGAATTTATTCCTGTTTGTGCTATTAACAGTGTGATACTCAAGTTTCAAGGCATAAGGCCCTACTTTGAACAAAGCATAAGTATGTAGAAATGATTTCATTTTTGCAATCAAAGAGTTCATAACATATTACATCAAAAACAGCTTTTACTTTGCTGGGATATAAGTTCACTTGTTTTACAGTGCTAAATTTGGTGACTTATGAATATTTTGGCGATTTTAAGATGAATTTGTACTCAAAATTTTTTATTTGAAGATACACAGTTTTTTCGACAATTTTTGTTACCATCATATCATAATATATTAAAATTATATTCATGAAAAAACATTAAAATAATATATTTAGTTTTCCCCTGTCATATTGTAAAATGAGATTTCTTTCTATTTTGTTTATTTAGGAATATTTTTATTTTGAAAAATAGACAACATAATAAATGCTATAAAAGCACGATTTCCGAAGCGCCTCTTACCAAAAAGAAAAAAGCTACTGTAATTATTTCTAAATTGATTCCATCTGTCTGTTTTAATATTTTTTTTGTGATCAGAGCTTTTTCCATTATCACTGTTTCAGAATATTCAAATGCGTATCAGTTTTCTCTCTAAGATTTACACTTTTCTCTTCTGATATTTATTTATTTTTTAAAATAAAAAATCTTCTGCCTTTTTTCTCATACAGATTTGGTAGGGATAATTTTGTTTCAGATTTTAGACCTTGCACCTCAGGCTTAAAATGATTTGAAGGCAAGATTTGTAGACCTATAATTCCATACAAATGTGACAAAATTAAAAGTGCTTTCATGGTATTAACATGTAATGGCATGGTAACATGTAATGACATTGTTTTGCGGAAATTTGTGATGAATTTATTATTTTTTTTGTAGAGTTTTCTAATTTTGATCCTTGAAGCCTTTCTCTCAACATTTTATCTTCATTCCCCCTCTTCTTTTCAGTAGACATTAGCATATAGAATTACAAAACTGATTCAGATCTTGTCACATGGACAGGTATCTGTAAGAAATAATTTTTCTATTACAAAAGAAAATGAAAAACTGAAAGTTTAAAAATTAATCTTTTATGTCTCAGTGCGCCATGCATATACCTCACACAAGGCATTTTGTTTCCTGATTCAGTGTATGCGAATTCTAAATTCTAAAAATCTCTAAATTATATTCCTTGGTGCTTTGCTAAATACTAAAAATTCTGCCACCCCAGCTCTAGCACTGGCTGTGACCATGTATCATTTCATATTTACTCTCAGATTATTAAAGAAATAAAATCAGACGTTTCTTTTATACATTCTAAATACATGAAAATTTTAAAATAAAAGAGATCTTTAATTAAATCTGAAAATTCTAATATGAAGAAAAAACTTATTGAGGAAGGAAATGATTATATAAAGGAAAAGAAAGCTGTTTTCAAAGTTATATTGTTAAAACATTAACCCCTTCAAGCCGGGTAGCGAAAACGCGCGCTTATCGCTGAGGGCCGGCAGTGTCTTACGCGAGCGTCTCTCCAGGGCCGGGGGGCTTTTTTGCTACTAAGCCTAAATCCATGAAATTTCCGAAGTATCAACGCATTGTTTAATAATGCTCTATAGAGTATTTAAACGGCTTATGCTTTATAGATATTTTTATATATATACTTTAATTACCTTATTTCTTGTTTAAATGCATATTTTACACATTTTATTTTAATTACTCACCATTTTATGAATTTTAACATTATACATCTGAAAACTAAATATATTACTTAAAATTCTCTTTTCGTATGAAAAATTTGAAAACAGGGATCTACACACAGTCCTACGTTACATTTCTTGCACTCGTAATAACTCATTTCCCGTTTTGGAGGATTTTTCCAAGAATGAACAAACAAAGCACGTCGTCTCATTTCTTATCATCTCTTCTGAACAAAGTTTTGGAAAATGTCTTCGTAATCTTTCAGAATCATATCAGATTTCAGAACAGCTGAAATATTTTGCATCATTCTGCTATTTCATCTCTGTAAACATTTTCGACGCTTCGACATGCAACGGTAAAAACAAAAATTCACAGTCTAACAAGATCTAATTTTTTCTAAAATCTGAACTGCAAACCGAAATACCCAACGCTTTAGCGTAAAAACTTCTCTACTTACAGTAAACACTACCATGTGCATAAAGTGCGATTAAAGAACGTCATAAATCACGCCATTCGAAACATTTATTTTCCCTTTTGTTTATATCAAAAACACTGTAGTGAGTCATGCTTCTCTCATTTCGAGTAGAAGGTCTAATGGTTCATGTATCGAAACCATATGGACATACAGTGCCATCTATCTGTGGCAGAAATTCTTAGTTTGACAAACGTTCCCAAGTACTGGCACAAATACGGACAGTCGTAGAGAACCAACCCCTGGCACGCCTGCGTGTCGGCCGGTAGGTAAGTGTGTTCGTTGCTGGCACGTATATGTGACAGTCGGCGCGAAGGGGTTAACAAATTAGGAGACAATGCTGAACCTAGTGGGAGCATTCATTTATTTATTAAGACAAATAAATTTAGAAAAGATGCTAAAGGAAAAAAAAAACTGATATAAATTAGCTAAAATATATTGAAAATTTTCTAAATTAAAAAGGTGCATCAATATTTTATTGCGTTTTTTTGCTGCTAAACATACATTTTTTTAAGTTTTTTATAAATAACTATCTTAATATTGTTTTAGAATCGGATTTATGTGTGTAATTATCTGTTATTTTAACCTGTAAAATGTTCTTAGATTGTAAGTTTAATAGTAGTTCTTTTTAATGAATATTTTTTTTTAAGTGAAAACATTTTTTAATAGTGACCATGTAAATCTATAATGACTAAGGGTATCTATTTATGTAATTTAATTATTTTTAGTTAACTGTTCACCTTTAAAAGTTCTGTGTACTTTTTAATGTGAGTTATTGTCTTTCCTTAAATCTTACTGCGGATGCAATATATAGCACAAAAATGTATAAATTAATGTAAAACTTTTTAACTTATAACTAGTGAGATCTAAAATGATGCAAAACGTTTTATTGCCTTTGGTGTTTCAGTGACTTATTGGAAATTTATATCAACTGGGTTACAATTCCAGTGACTATGCAATGTTACAACACTAACTGGATCAGACGAACAAAGTGTTACTAACTTTACACTTACCCATGTGCCAGCGTTCGGTGCAAATCTGTTCTGATCAGTGGCTCTTTCTCTAAGCAAGCAACAGCCAAGCTTCTGTTACAAATCATGCTTTTTGTAATTTTACTTTTCATTTTAATTTAAGTGACTGAACATAAAATCTGTGTAAACCTCTGGACTGAGCGAGAACATGATGAGACAAGACATAAAGAAAGAACTAACATAAAGCTAACTGTTAGTAAAACTTAATAAAATGTCACTAATCATCTTTAAAATATGTGGAACTATTAATTTAGAAGTGAAACAACAAACTATGTGGGACTATTATTGTATCTTAATTATGTGGGACTGTTTTAATTGTAAAATATAAATGTTTAAAGGAATTTTGTAATTTAATGCTAGTTGCTTGATAAATGAAGTTGTCTTTGCTTTTGAATGTTTTTTATAATTATGTTAAATATTAGATTATGTTTAATAATAATGGACCCTATTTAGAGATCTCTTTTATTCTTAGAATGGTATTATAAAAGTGCAAACTTCACTTTTATCTCATAATTGTTTTTCATTGATGTTCGTTGATTTCCATGTGCAGAAAGAAATATTGCTGCATGCATATGCATTCGTAATAGATTGAAAGCACACAGGTCTGATGATAGGTTAATAAAATTTATTTTATCAAAATATAAACTTCAAAGTTCTGGAATTTTCAGTAAAAATACTCATACATGTGTCCACAGTATCACAGAGTAAAATCAGTAGTTACACTTCAAACTACTAAGAATGCTAAACACAATTTAATGCAAAGCACATCTAAAGAGACCCCTCCCCCGATCTTACGTTGAACTAACATCTCGCAACAACAATGTATATTGACTGAGAGCAAATGCTCCCTCCTCGGCCTTATATAGTTTTAAATCGGTTGTCGAGATATTTCTAGTACTTTCTGCTTCTTGAAATTGCTGGAAAGTAATTTGAGGGTCGAATTATGGTTGCAGCTAATATAATGATTAATTATATTTATTCAGGTACAATACCTATTATACCGGGACCGGACTAAAATGTCGCCAAATTTGCCATCACCAAAATTGATGACTTCAGCATGACTCTATCTCGCCAAATTGCTGAGTTACCCCTTTACTCATGTTAAATGGGCTTAATAGTTTGAAGTGTAACTACTGATTTTACTCTGTATTCTTACTCTTCTGGCATAGGTTCTCTTTTTAGATATTTCCCGCTACATTACACAGAAGAATACAACATTTGCACATATAATTGCACTAAAATCATCTATCTATGTACAAAATGTGTAACAATATATACAAACTGATAAAAGGAAACCTGAATTCAAGGCTTAAAAAGGTTTTACGAAAAATTTGTCTATTATTGTATGTTATCTGTCAATTATCAACATAACTGCTGAGGAAACAAAACCTTAGACAACATAGAAATTCTTTAGACAACTTAATCTTTAATACTTGTATGGCACAGTAGGCCACCATGAATTGTTAAAAACACTTTTGACTAGTAATACTAAGCAAGAATGGCTTTCTTATGCTTTACTTGTTCTTAGTTGTCTTTCTGTTTTAGGAAGAAAGCAGTAGAATCTGTCTTCTACTTACTTAAAGCTTTGTCTATGTCTCTAATATAAAATGCTTATCATAATTTTTTGCTTGGTTAATTCACAAAGGACAGAATTCCTTTAAACAAATGGAAATGTTTCTCAAATTCACTTTTTTTGGCATTCACAGTATATGAATTTAATTGTCTTTATGCTTTATTTGATATGTGATAATATTTTTAAACAGAAATTAATGTACTTTCCATTTTTTTGATTTCATCATGTTTTTATGCTGTGCTGTAATACTTTAAAGTTGTGTTTTATTAACAGTTCACCATCTTGTGCTAGTGTTGGCTTTATTTCTATTGCTGCTCGAGAAATGACAAATACTAAGCAAAGAAATGCATGGTTATTACTAGCTGAAGAAGAATCATTATGGTCTAAAGTTAGTTTCTCCCCATGTTTTCTTATTATATATTTAGTCTATTTTGATTTTCAAATTAGGATGATGACAGTCATTCATTTTAAGTATGATTTTATTATAGTCATTGTTTTAAAGGTTGGCATAGGCTACTTTGTGTCTTTCGCTAGCCCTGATTAGTATCTTTCAGGAAGAAATTCCTTCAGAGGAAAATAAATAATAAAATGTGTTTTAAAAATAAAACAAATTTAAATCAAACAAGACTTAAAATAAACATGAAA